GCTGTAAAGTATATATTGCTAATAAGACTACATAACAATTTGACTATTTGCCAAATGTAATTAATTGATTATTGTTTTAATCTGGATATAGAGTGTTATTTATAATATTGATAGTTTGAACTGCTTGATTATAATAATTAATATCAGTATTTAATGAATTTGATAACTATATAGAAATTCAAATTTTTATATATTATTTCAATAATAACAAGACTATTCTTATAATATATTATTATAGTATATTAATAAAATAACAGATTTTGTTATAATATATATTTTATTGAATTTTAATTATTATAATAGTAATATACTGTAAAATCTATTAGATATTAATTGGGTATTATAATTTTTTTGATAATAAGATTATAATAAAATATGAATTTTATAAAAATTGTATAATAAACAAATTTAATTTTTTATATACTCTTTAAATAATAGAAATAATAACTTAAAAAGTCAATATTTATATATTTCAATGGAAATTTTTTTTTTAGAAATTTCAAAACTATAAAATATATTGTATATTGTTTCTTAAGACTTAATCTAATTTTTATTACCAATATATTTTTTTTTCATTTTAACAATTCAGAATCCATTTATTTTATTTAAATATTTTATTATTATATTTAATAATAGTTTTATATAACTATTTTTAAATAAATAATAGATAATTATATTGTAATATTAAATAATAAAAATGGTTCTAACAACTGTTTTTTTATATTAAAGTAATTAATTTTTTTTAAATACTAAGTGAGATCTTCTTTAAATCTTTATTAATTAAACATAATAAATGTAATACATTATATACAAAATCAATAAAGTATAAAGTATATGATAATACATATTAACCTACTACTATAAGCAGATATTGTATATCATTGAAAAAAACTTAAAAAGAAAAACCTGAGAAACTATCTGTTACGAAAAAATAAAAAATAAAAAAAACATTTCGGGCAAGATCGCCAATTATAAAAAAGAGTAATAGAAGTTTGATTATAGAGAGAAATAAAGTTAATAATATATATGATAGACTATATGCTATTTAAATATAAGTATGACTTATAGTTAGTGTTTTATGGAGAGAAGATATTATAGTAATAATATGAGTTAGAATTTAGGAGCATATTATCTATAAACTAACAATTCCTTCCACAAGGCACAAACCAATATGTCTACCTAAGTTACTGCTTCCTTTTCAATAGCTAAGCGTGACTCCAATAGCAGTAGAGGAGCATTGGCTTGAGCTGCCAGATTATGGGGCACAACTTCCTGGTATTTCACTTTCACTCACAATAAAAGTATTTTACTTTTACTTACATTGATTAGACTTTGGCTACCTTTTTTTTTTTAATGATAGCTTTGCTGCTTATGGATCGCAACTCCATTGTTAAGATAATAAGTAGTCATGTAGTTGATAAAAGAGTATTGTGATTAAGGTATAAGTAAGTCAGATAACTGGAGCCTGCTCCAATTGCTTGTTTTGTTGCTTGGATGCATATATAGTAGAGATTACCAGAACCTATGCAGGGCACAGGTCACGCATTCTTTCAATCTGATAAGTTATCAGATCATTTTTGTTGTCAATATTGTTGTATTGTTGTGATTGGTATTGTTGTTGGGTGTAGGAATTTTTCATTAAAAGAAGACTGGTTGTAAATGAGTTTGAACAGGTTTAGTGTTGTTAATAAGGGTATAGAAATTTTATTAATCATTTGTAGAGTATAGATCTTTGAATGGGATGAAACTGATTATGGTTTTTGAGTAGATTTGAAAAGAGTGTAGAAAAGTGTAGAAATATGATATAGTATTGATATTTAAATAAAGAAGAAAAAAATAATAAATTTACAAAGGTTGTGTTTAGACAAACATTAGATCCAGTAACTATGTTTAAATATGTTGTTGAGATTGAATTTGTATTGTAGAGAGAAAGATAAGAGAAAAAGTAATTATCATGGTCATAAAGGAGAAGGTACCTAAAAACAAAAAATTATGAAGGAAGGCTGTCATGGGCCTTTCCCTATGCAATTAAGAGCTAAGGAAGACTTCCAACTTGCTTAGGTTTTGACCAGAGATCCTATCCCAATGCAACAATATTTCTTAAAGTCTTTATATTCTTTGGATTTAAAGCTTATTGCCTTAGGGAATAAAGAGAGAAGGATGCTTCTTGAAAGAAGATTTCCTAAAAAAAAAAATTTCAAAAAATCAGTGATTAACAGGTAAGGGGTTTTTTTTTATATTATTAAAGTAATTAATTATATAATTAGTTTTTTATTATTGATTATAATCATAATTAATTCTATTTTAATTTTTTATAATCTATTGAATATAGTTATTATTCTTTAATAATATCTTATATAGAAGTTATTGAATATTTCTAATTAATTGTTATACAAATTCTATTTTTTTTTAGATTATTAATTTGTAGAGTATTTTTATATCAAATATTTTTTTCATCAAAAATATAATGTTTAATTGGTTGATATAAATAAATTATTTGCAAATACTGTTATTAATTTTTAATAATTAATTGTTATTTACTTTTCTTATTTTAGTTATAGTATTATTTAAAAAAAAAAAATTTTTTTTTAAAGGAGCAAAATGATATTACACTTTATTTTATTATTATAATTTTAGACTTGCGAGGACAAGATTTATAACACTTTACAATATACATGTTGCTAAAATTTGTAGATCCTTGATGCAATTAATTGAGTCACTATTAAAATATATAAATAATTAAGTCATGACACAATTATTTTTGAGAATTTTGGGAATTGAGTCAACAACAAATAATTTATATCACATGTATACTTTATAGTATAATATATATATCTCTTTGCTAGGAAAAGTTAAATGCAAGACTTCACAAATGCAATCTATCCTCTGTGTTTCTTGACACTATCTAAGAATATAGAAAAAAGAAATTCAAAACCTATATTATTTCTTGAATAGCATCTAGCTACCTAGAGAAAAATGATTATCTAATTACATGAAAGTGCTGCAGCCACTATATATAGATTTGTCTTCAAATAATTATTTAAAAAATTTAATTTATTAATAAATAAAAGTATTGTTATAAATTTTTTTTTCACAAATATTTATATAATATATAATATTAGTAAAAGTTAATTATATTATTTTTTGTTTATTTAAAATTTATTTTATTTAAACTTTTACACTTATATATATATACCATATATATATTTCTATAATTTTTTAATAATTTTTAATATAATATTATAAAAAATTTTAATTATTTATAATATATTATCCAACATTAGAATTAGTATATGGCAGAATTATTAAATAATATTATTTGAGATTTTAATAATATTATTTTGATAATTCTATTTAAAATATATTAAAAAAGAATATTAGAAAACAAATAAATAAATAATTTGTTTAATTTAAATAAAAAAACACAGAGAGAAAAATAATAAGCTTTATTATAGTTAATAAATTATATTGTATATGTTATGAAATTTAATTAGATATTAATTATATGTATATACTTATAGAAAAAATTAATTAAATAAATAGTATCAATTATAAAATAAAAAATATGTATATACTTATAAAAAAAGTTGATTAAGCAAATAATATACAATTGTAAAATAAAAAATATGTATTTATTTACAAGTTCTGTTATAAAATTAGATTATTTTCATCTATTTAATGAAATGTTACATTTAAAGAGATTATATTTACAGAGGTCTAATTATATTATTTAAAATAAAATAAATTAAATTAAAAAAATATCAAATTAAACAAATTAATTATTAATTTTATTAAAAATATATATAATAAAATATTGAATTTATATAAAAATTCAAAAAAAAAAAATTAAATATAACAAAATAATAATAATAAAAGATTCAATTAATAAAAAATTAAAATTAATAAAATTTTTTTTGAAATTTATCAATAAATATAATAAAATTTTATTAAAAATAATATATAAAATTTTAATAAGTATTATATATACTGTTTATTGAATTTTATATATTAACTATTATCAAATAATTTAAAGTTTGATAAATAATTTGTTAATAAAATTATATCAAATAATTTAATTTTAATTAATACTAGCAATAAACCAATATATAAATTCTTTAGTAATATAAAAATCCTTGTGTGTATCGCACCTTAGTCCTTAAAAAAAAAAATAAAAAAAATAAATTCTTTAGTAATAATATTTAATGTAATTTGTAATTTGACAAAATTAACAAAGCTTATATTTAATATTTCATTGTAGTAATAATATTTATGATTTTTTTTTTTAAAGATTTTTTAATAAAATATTATTTAACGTTTATAAATGTAAAGTAATTATTAAAATAAAAAGAATATACTGTATATGAAAATTATTTTTTAATGATTTTTTTATTTCAAGAAAATTAGAATAGCAAGTTTTGTTTTATAATTAAATAAATATTTAATAATAAATAATAATCGAAAGAGTTTTTGTATAAAATAAAATCTTAAGCTGAAAAAAACTTTGCAAGCAATGCATTACTTTAGTAAGTAGGTTTAAAAATTATACTTTTATGGATTTTCCTAAAAATCGTCTATTTAAATTATACCTTAAATTTTAATGTATTTGTAAAAAACAAAATTAGAATTTCGGACTTGTCACTATACTTAAAATTGTTTCAGATCTTATTATCTCAACATATTAATAAATTTATTTTATCTTATTAGCCTTCTCAAAATAAGACGTTTTTATGCTCGATATATTGATAATGATGAAATATTGATAACCCTTTACGCATAGTCAACTAGTTTTACTGTTTCCATTTTGAACTATTCGAGAGCCAATTATTCTAATGGTGTAAATGTCGCAATTTTAAAGATCTATGTGTGTTCCCAGTTACATAATTGATTATTTTTAATAGAATACAACTAAAACCATGAATCGGTTTACAGAAGTGCAGATAATTTATTACCATCCTCCAAAAAAGTATGGTCTATCACTTCAACTTTGTTACATCAAATTTTTATTTTCTCTTGTTAGCTTCCTCCTCTTCCTTTGCCTTACGGCGAACTTCACGCACACCAACAAGACGGGCATCGGATCTAGCTTTACGTAAAGTAGCGTAAGCACTAGCAGTCCTTTCTTCCTGAGTGATAGCACGTTCTTCAACTTCAGGCCACACTTGTTGGATTGCCAAGACGGTTCCCTTATGCTGAGTGGCAGTTGCAATCTCAGCCGGCTTACGGAAACAAAAACAAATTAATATATTTCAATAAATACTTTCTGAGTATTATAAAAGGTAAACTTGTACCTCAGCAATGTCCTTCTTCTTTCTGGATTTCTTAGGGAAGATAATGAGTTTACTTTTGTAATGCTTCAATCGCTGGACATTAAGTTGGAGTGATTCTTCTGATCGATTTTTGCGCCGATGATCAACAGGAATTCCAATAGTACGTGCCTCCTTACGGTGGATTCCTGCTGCCTATCACACCAAAAAACGAAATTACTTTTGAAGAATGATGGATTTTTGGCTGTTCAATTTATGAGCCAAACAATTTATTCATATAATCGTATATTTTTTAATATAGCCTATTTATATGCTCTCAAGATTTACAAGAATCTCTGACACAGAAATTATTTCACCAATGCTGACCTTAAGTTCATCGAGAGTAAATCCACGACCAGCTCTCAATTTGGTGTTATATTTTCTAGTTGGACATCTTACTGCAGGCCTTAAAAGTTCGGTAGGGCGTGGAGCGATTCGAGTAGCCTTTTGAATGCGGTTAATTCTTCTTCTCTTCTTACGTCCTGGCTGATCAAACCAAGTCTTAACGCGCAATTGCCAATCCTTGTGAAAGTGGCCATTTGGAAGCTGGTTATTGTGCTTCATTTTCTCAAAAAAAAAAAAAAGGAAGATCTTTTAACTACCCGAGGTTGTTTAAATATGATCAGTAATTATCATGTGACGATAATATTATGCACGTGATGCAGTTCGTGGACGCCACCTTCATTAAACTTTTTGAGGCTGGTAATTTTAGAAAGCATTATGCGCTTCCGCTTTCCAGGATTTTTAAATGGATAGTACGTCAAACTGGATTTTCAAAAAGTCAGACTATATCAAATACACACCGTCACGAAGAGATGATATATCGAAAGAAGAAGAGGATTACAAGAGATCTAAAGGAGTTAGATTCATTATTGATGTATCCCAACATTTACAACTGTAAGTTTATATATTCAAACAAATAAAATCTTTGCTTGTCAAAACAACACCTTCTAAAAAAAAACAAATTGATCGATAGTCCTCAAATAGCGATTGCAACGGCTGCCACCTTCTTACATCGATTTTATATGCGAAAAAGTTTCAAAGAATTCCATCATTATGTATGGTCCTTTAGTTTATCAGAATTATGATTTGAACAATTCTAATGGGTGCCTTATAGGATATCGGTGGGACTTGTGTATTCATGGCATGCAAAACAGAAGAAGTTTCCCGAAAAATGAAAGAGGTGGCGATAGCATGCGCGAAATCTGCCAGAAAGGATAAACATCTAAAAGACGAAAAGGTCGGTTTACTTTATGTCAAATTTACAAATGTATAAAAATAATGATGAAATATAATTTGATTTTAAGATATTTATTCAATAGGAATTTGATAAATGGCATCATACAATTACAAAAAGGGAACCGACCATAGCAGCTACTTTATGCTTTGATCTTAGTGTGGAGCACCCATATAAGCCTTTGGTCGAGTTTTTTAGAGGGTCGAAAGGCTCAAAAGGTATTAAAATTTGAAGTCATTTATTAAGGTTTAGGTTTCAAATGTCATTTTATAAATATTTTATATTTATATTTTGAAGTGGGCTACGAGGGGGAAGATCTTGAAAATTTATTCGGTAGCGCCTGGGCATTTATTAATGATAGGTTCATTTATTTATTTTGACTTTATGATTTTATGATTTTATGCTTTTATCGAATTATTTGCACTCATATTTTTGAATTGACAGCTTCCTTACGACAACTCCAGTTTTATATAAGCCCAATGTTATAGCTAGTGCAGTAATTTTCATTGCATCAAAGCTATGGGGTGTACAATTGAACGTCGAAGAGAAGTGGTGGAAAAAAACGAAATCTAGCGTCTATGACATTGCAGGTATTTAGTATAACATACTCAATGTTTTAAATGATGAAATTTTTTTTCTGATTCTTTATTCTCTATCTAGAGGCAGTGGATGACATATTAGAAATCTATAAACTCTGTAAGCCCAGAGTCGTCAAGAAGAAAGAGGTAATTCCATATTCTGCCTGTTATTATTCATATTTGGTTTTGTAACTTATCTTTGTGAACAAATAAAAGATCGTTGAAAATCCGGATGATTCCGGAAACCCGTTGGAAAACACAGAAATTGAAAATACAGTAACAGTCTCCCATAATTCGGAAATTAGTAATTCCGAGATTCAAACTCCAAAAATAGAAAGCCCTGATATCAAAGTTGAACAGTCAAATCAGGATCAGCCAATGGATGATGAATTAGAGGATGGACAGATTACAGATGATGAAAAAACCAAGGAAGCAGAAGAGACAGGGCAGGAAGTTAATGGAGATGTTGAGATGGATTTGGAAGCTAACAACGATAACAAAGTTTGATTCTGTTTCATACTTGTAACGTTCTCGTGTCACTGCGCTTCTTTTCATATTTGACAAAGTTTATTTGAACAATATTAGCATCATAATTTTGTTTTCATATTTAACGAGATTAATTTTGGCCAACGAAATAAACGCAGAATTGAGTCGATATTTAGATTCAGATAGAACAATGCATGTAAAATATTTAAAATTAAACATAATATTAATGAATTTTATACATAATTATACTGTATTTTATAATTAAATTTTCGAATTTATACATAAACAAAGGTTAATTATTTAGATTAGCAAAGAAACTTCTTATCAAGATTTTTTATAATTAATAATCAATTAACTTTATTTATCAAATAAAATGAGCAATCATAAATTTTATTAACTTTATTGTCATTAATTAATTAATTTATTTTTATATATACCATTTTTTTAAATATAATAATTTAATAAATGTAATAGTTAAAAAGATTTATTAAATATTCTTACTTGAGAGTTTCCTTAACTACCTGTATCCAGATCAATATCCAGACGAACTTTGCCTAAGATAGGATATGCATACAAAAATACAATAATTTGAATAGTTGATTGAAATTATAATTAATTATTTAATTGTAAATAAATGCTATACTGTATATATGTGTATATTAATTGTTTTATTAAAAATAATAAATTTTATTAGGTTTATTGAATACTTAAATCAAATTTTTTCACGTTTTAATCTTGAAAATTGAATTTTTTAACTTGAAAATATAAGTTAAAAATAATTTATTCAATATAATATTATTTATCAATTATTTAATAAAAAAAATATAAACTTTGACTATAGTAACATATAAATTTATAAATAATTTAATATATATATATATATATATATATATATTAATCCCACAATCAAGTTGGTGTTGTATATTTATTAAATCATAAAGAATTATTACATGTACGAGAATACATGCAAAGTACAAATTTCCCTGATCCAACTTACCCGTCTTTAGCCAAAGCCTCTAGATATGATTTATGGGGGTAATATATTGTTCTCTTAAAGGATGAGATTAAGATTCCAAATTTCTGATAGGATTAGCACCTGCAGATCACCTCTACAGTCACGACTATAAATCCAAATTGTGTCACCACCTCTTGTAGAAACTACGCAAGGGGAAAAAGAAATAAAAAAAGGAATTTTTTAACAAAAAAAAAAAAAAAAAAAGTTATTGTCTATTCTAACTATCATTGAAAGAATTATTTCAATAAACTTAAAACCCAAGCTCCTTATGAATTCTCACTTCTCACCATCTGTGGCCAGTTAAACTGTTTAATTTCCAATGGAGTAGTCAATATCCAAGAATATTTAAGGGTACTTCCAGGAAAGTATCTCTTGAAACTTTACACTTGAAGACTTTTAACCAAAAAGGATGTTGGTTTTCTATTGTTGATTTCTTTCCCAAGCTATGTCTTCTGGAATTATAACTTTACTTAACCAGTGAATAGTTTCAAGATTCCTTTCTCCAATCATTTTCAGAATAAATATTGGTACTTTAACTTGTTACCAGATTGAAATAAGACCTAGACCTTATTACTACTTTCTGTTCTCAAGAAAAAATAAGAAAGAAAAAAAAATAAAATAAAAAGATGGGAACAAAAAAGGATCGACCCTCTTCTTCTTACAATTTCAACTTAAAACTGTTCAACTCTTTCAAGAACCAATCACATCATTGGTTTGATGTTGTGTGACTGGAAACATGTGAGAAGTATGTATCTTGTTTACTTTTTCTGTAGCTGACATGATCAACCAATTTATGATCTTGACCAATCATCTTTTAGGAGATCCAGTATGATCAAAAAATTCAAGGTCAAACTAAGGTATACAAAATTTCTCAAAAAAACCAGAAAAAAGAAAGCATGCTTGAGAAAAAAGAAATGGGAAGCCAAAGAGATGATGGAAAGACTGAAAACTTTTTTATTCTTGTTTTTCTAGATTCTTGAATCTTTTGGGGGTCTTTGGAGAGTATTTTTCTTGTCAGTTTTCTTCTTATAAAGGTGTTCTTACTGTAGATCTTTTAAATAGGTTTCTTGTATTTAGTTGCAAAAATAAATAAGAAAAGTGTTTTGAAAAAGAAAAATAAAACAAGTGATGGCTTCTGCTCGCTCGGTTGGTTAAAACCAATGTTGTTTTTAAGAAAAGTGTATAGACTTTATTATTATAAAAACAAAAAATCTTTTGAGAACATCTGTTTTTTGAGTTGGCAAAAGAATCATTAAAAAGAGTTTTTTAAATAATTTAATATATAATATTTTTATATTTATATTAATAATTAAATTTTTTTTTAAAAAAAAATAATATATAAAAAAAAAAACTCTTTTCCACTCCCTCTTTTACACTTGAAAATTTTCTTTTTAGAAAATTTTTGAGTTATTTATTTTTTTCTTTATTTTTCCCTTTTCCCTCTCACATTTCTTTATTTCCCTCTCTTTATTCTCTCCCTTCTCTTCTATATATTCTTTTTTATTCTTTATTTTTTTCTTTTTCCTCTCATATTTCTTTATTTCCCTCTCTCTATTCTCTCCCTTCTCTTCTATATATTTTTTTTTATTCTTTATTTTTCCCTTTCTCCTCTCATATTTCTTTATTTCCCTCTCTCTATTCTCTTTCTTCCCTTCTATATATTCTTTTTTATTCTTTACTCTCCCCCTTTCTTTTCTTTTTCCTCTTCCTGCTGAAACTAGGTTTTCCCTTTTTCTTGAAGGTTTTTCTCTCTAGGCCTCTCTCTCTTGAAAACTCCATCTCCATAATATCACTCTTTTGGCCAGTTGATTTTCTTTTCTCAAGAACCATATTAAGAAGTAGTAATCTTTCTCAAGATATGGCTTCAGGATTTTTTCTCTTCCATGGTTTCTCAGAAAAAGGATAGATGGCTTACTCTCCAAAAGATCGACATGGCCATCATTACCAAATCTGGTGTTGTTTACTGATTGGTGGTTAGACTAGATATACTCAAGAAATCTTTATACAACTATTATTATTCAAAAGTATCCAAGGAATTCACCCCATAATATTCAGAGTGAAATGACAGCCAATACCAATGCAGCTAGCAATAAGCTAGATTAGTTGCAGGTGTTATGCTAGTGATTGGAAAACTTAATAGGATAATACGTGACAACCAGGAATTCTAGTTACTCCCACAACACAAGCTGGTAACAACAACGAAAGTTCTTCACTTACCTCTTCAACAATATAGATCTATTGTACAAGGTTAGGTTCTGGTGCCACTAAGAAAATCAATATGAATTCCACACATAGGACACTTCCACCACATTTGAAGCATGGGTGTGCCAAATCTTTTTTATGACTTGGAGGCAACCCTGTATAAAGTGGCTGCAGCACCTTTATACACAAAGGTACTTATTTTTTACCACCTCCAACACCACTCTGCTTGCTGTACATCAAACTATATTTGGAAAGTAGGCATGCCAATCCTAATCATGACTTGGAGGCCAATCTGTATAGATTGGCTATAGTGCCTTTATGTGATTAAATATTTATTTATTTCTAGGTAACTAGACACCATTCATAAACATAATATAGATTTTTGAATTTTTTTTTGTCTGTATTCCTTGAATAATACTATAAGAGCATAGAAGTCTGGCCCTGTACAGAAGCCTTGCGTTAAACTCTTTCTAACAAAGAGAGATATATGTCATGCTATTGAGTATTGTATCTTGCTTTGCAAATAAAAGTATGTATAATAAATATAATAAAGCATGATAGCCATTTGCTCTTTTCAAAAAAAAAATAATAATAATATATATAATGGGGGATAATATAAACTATAAAATTTAAGTACATCATATAAAACAATATAATTTAAAAAAAAATGGTGATACAAAAAAATTTTTTTAGCCAAATGATAGCTTTTTGATTAAACTATAATTTGACTAAAAAATTTTTTATTTTTTTTATTTTTTTAAGTTATAATCCTTAAAATCACTTGATTTAAACTATAGTTTAATAATATTTAATCACTATACAAATAATGGAAAAATTATCAAAAAGAAAGTAACAACTTCATACAAATGCTATATATACAGTACATGCACTATGCAAAAAGCTATATTCTTAGTTTCTAATTTTGTTGATTTGGAATTAAGCAAAGAGTACAAAAGTAATAGTTCAGATTTTGCAAATAAATTTAGTTCTGATAATAAAATTTTTAAAGTTGACAATATAGAATTAAATAATAATTAACATGTATACTCAATTTTTGACCTTTTGCTTACTGCATCTAAAGAAAGTTTTAAAAAGCAAACATGTTCTATTTGTTATAAAGGTAATTCAAAATATATCAAATGATAAAAAAAATAAACTCAACAAGAAGCAGCAATAGAAACTATATTACTTTCATAATTTTTTTTTAATAGTAATATTAATAAGAGTAAAATTAATTTACAAAAGGTAAAAAAACAGACTGAAAATATTAATAATGAAAAAAATACTATTTATAAAAAAAAATTTATAAAGCTATTGATTTTATTGAAATAGTTATTAAAAAAGAATTATCTTTTAATACTTAAAAAGTTTGATATACAATTGCTTTATATTTTCTTTAACTTATATTAAATGGCACAAAAAAAATTAAAGCAAATCAAATAGCTATAAATATATTTAATAATAGTATATAATATGCAAGATTAATTAGAAAATGTGCAAATATTTGTTTAAAATATAAGTTTTATTTATTTATTTATTTTTTAAAATAAAAAAAAACAATTTATTCTAATAAATATATAAGAAAAGTTTTCTTTAAAGAGTCTTTTATATAATGAATTTGTTTTTTTTAAATAAGTACATATTTTCATTTTCAAAAGTTTGAAATAAATTCTATATTAGTTAAAAAATATTTTGAAGTAAATATTATTTTCCATATTAAAATTGACTTGGTACAAACAATTTCTATCTGGACTGTTTGCCATTGAATGTATCTTATAAGCTTTTATTATCAACATTATCAGAA